CATGTCCTAGAAAATTCGAGGGAGAGCCTCCAACCTGTGGACCGCCAGCAGAGGCTGTGTTAGCTCAGGACTGCCTCTGCCCTCTTAGAAAAGTTGACACAGCAATAAGAACGGGAAAGGTAGCTGGGGAGCCGTATAGTCATTTGTGGTAACTTGTATAATCTGCAGTCTCTGAAATAGATCAAGGGCAAGTCCCTGAGATTAGGCAGTTTCCAAGGAGGAAGTGGAGGCTCATGGAATATGTGTGTGGCTGGGCGGTTGGGGTAGACAGGGTAGCACTCAGCCAATCAAGGCCGATCTCAGAAAGCATCAGCAAAAATACACTTTTTGAAAGGGAAGAATGTCTCTAGTGGGTAAAATCCATATCTTCAATGGAGGCTGACCCCATAGTCGGGTAGACACAACAGCAGAAACTAGAGCAGAACGTCAGCAAAGCTCACAGACAAACTTCCTTCAGAAACAACTTCAGAGGTGGCTTTGTGCCAGGCAATGTTCTAGGCACAGATAGAGATGACATCCATGAGCAAAACCGAAGATCTGAGACTGTCTGCATGCTGGAGGAAGATGACAGCGAGCAGGATAAACAGAAAACTGGCAGAATAATTGGGCAGGTGGAACTGCTTTGGAGAAATAAAAAGCAAGGCCAGAGGATGGGTGCCGCCATCTTCTACTAGCTCACTGGGGCTGTCTTCATGGGAATGTGACCAGAGAACAAAGACAACGATGGAACACTGTGGAAAAATGTGAATGGGCTTAGTATTTTCATTCAAATATTTTATTTTATTAATTTATTTATTCAATTATTTTCATTTTTATTTTATGTGAATGAGCGTTTTGCCTGCATGTATGTAAGGACACCACATGCATGCAATGCCCACAGAAACCAGAAGAGGACATCACATCCCCTGGAACTGGAGTTACTAATGGTTGCTAGCTGCCATGTGGGTTCTGGGAACTGAACCAAGGTCTTTTGCAGGAGCAGCCAGTGCTCTTAACTACTGAGCATTTCTCCAGGCCCCCATTCAGATCTTTTAAATTAATTATTAGAATAAACGTCCATTATTAGAGCAGCAGCCCCTAGGGCAGCTTGGGCACCACCATTGATATACCTGAAGACAGGTATCTCTCACTGTAAGACATGAGGTTGCCATGTGGAATGGTACAGGATGGGAGCCCCCACTCTGCCTTGCTGACTCCAACCGTGAATGCCCCCCCCCAATCTTGGACTGTTTCTTAATTCCCAGACAACCATAACCCAGTCCTCCAGCAACAACACAGCTCCCTGTCTGTGAAGGGGAATAATGTCTGAGTAGCTGGCTGTTAGAACTGATGTCTAGGCATAGATGATGTCCAAATCTTCAGGCAGAAGTCATGCATTGTGCTCACCCCTATGGGGACTTCACAGTGCACCATCAGAATTCTCTCCAGTGGTCCCTCAAGGAGCCTGAGGAGATAGATGCCAACAGTTCATTGTGTGTCACAGCATAGCAGATGGAAAAAGGAACTCAGAGCCTATGAAAGTAGCCTTAGCAGGGTACCAGTGATGAAGCTTCCTTCAGAACGTCTAGGGAGATCCAGGATGCCCTTCACCATCTTTTACATAGAGAACATGTTCTGGTTTGTGGACCAATAGTGGTCAATCTGAAAATCAGGCTCTATAACAAGTAACTGATGGAATGAGAATGTTGTTTTGATTATGGGAATCAGATAGCTAATACAGGATGCTTTGACGGGGGTGGGGGAGTGGGGGGGTGGGGAAGCTCTCTCTAGAAAGCCCAGATGACTTTGAGTATATTTAGAATATACTAAGAGCCCTATTCAGGGCTCTGACCTTGAGAATGGCAATGAAAGGCTAGACATAATAGAAATCAAATGCAAAAGATAAAGGCCACTTTACTGTGGAAAAAAACATTAGCATAGGATTTTAAAAGCTAATGTTTATCCTTCAACTTGTGGGAATCACTTAAAATTTAAAGCCTGGGGCTGGAGAGCTGGCTTAATGGTTAAGAGTACTCAGTGCTCTTACAGAGGACCAAGGTTCAGTTCCATCCAATACCCTCTTCTGGCATCCACAGGCACTGCATTGCAAAAGTGTACTGCCTGCATGTATGTAAGTGTACCTGTGTCATGCAATGCACGAGGAGGCCAGAAGAGGGCATCAGATTCCCTGGAACTGGAGTTACAGATGGTTCTTCATTACCATGTGGTGCTGGAAATTGAACCTGGGTCCTCTGCAAGAGCAGTCAGTGCTTGTAATCGATGAGCCATCTCTCTAGGGCTCCCTGATGAGTTTAAGGCTAATCAATTCATCTTGAGTTGAGGCTACTGAGCTCTAGCTCCTCAGCCCTGGCCAAATACTAACAAGTCCTGGCTTCTAGACCCAACACTCAGTCCTCTCCCCATACTCTCCAGTTGAAGTTTTGAGTGCATTTTAAAGAATAATTACAGATACACACCTGTACTCTCAGAACTTAGGAGGTAGAGGAGAGAGAATCAGTAGTTCAAGGTCATCTTTGGCTACATAGTGAGTCCAAGGCCAGCATAGGATGCATGAGAACATGTCTCAAGCAAAGCAAAATGAAACAAAACTACTATTTTGAGAAGTTCATAAAATATAAACTGTAAAATAAAAGTAGGTAAGAAAATCTACTTTTAATCTGTTTTTTTTATTAGATTGCATGAGATGAAAACCAGTTATCTTTGTGGATCAAGAGCAACCAAATTTTGGCAGTTTCACATGACTTAAGCTACCTTCAGGAATCCTTCAATTTCAGATTTGCTGTCTTCCTCATCTGACTAATCCAATCATGTTCTTCCCTCCACTCTCAGAATTTGTTTTCAAGCTACAGCATTAACCATGAAGCCAGCTGCATCCCACTAAGATCATCAGGCCAAGCCAGCACCAACCCTTAAGCACTCTTTAGCACCTTCCCTAATCCAGGGACTGCACAGGCTGCTCAAGTCTGCCTGACCTTCGAGAGTTCATAGTGTAGTAAGACAAGGAAACTTTAATGATGTGCACAATCAGTTTGGAACAGAAATACATGCAATGTGGTAAAGGGGACACCGGAGCATCATGCTTAGAAGGTAGAAGGAGGAAGATTTCATAGAAGAGTTGACATTTGTGTTGTGTCTTGAAGGAAAAATAAGATTTCCCGACAAGTGAAAGTGGAAAAGGCATTTGGGCAGTCAGGAGGCCAAGCCAGGGTCAGGGTTTGAAAGAATGTTCTGGTAAAGGACAAATGAATCAGTGGGGCTCAATGGCAAAATGCAAAGAGATGTGGGTCAGAGGTTTAAAATGCATGACTTCCCCCCATCCCCTTTTACATGTGGGTAAGCTAAAAGAAATTTTCCAGCCAAGGAAATGACACGTTGGGTTTCTGTTTGTTGTTTGTTTGCTTGTTGCAGTGCTGGGACTCAAACCTACGACCTCACAAATGGTAGGCAAGTGAGGCTCCGCTACTGAGTCACACCTCCTCAGCCCATGATGTTTGTTTTTGAAATATAATTTTTCTCTTTCAAAAGTTGCTTTATTTTTATTTTATGTGTATGGGTGTTTTGCCTGCATGTGTACTGCCGGTGCAAGCCGGCCAAGATGGACAGTACCTGAAAGGGGGAGTGAGGATTGAAAGAAAAAACAAGAGACAGAGAAAAGATACTTGGGAGGACTGTCAGTAGAGACTGCAGCCCGGGTTTATTTTAGCTCAGCCTTTTTACACAGTGGAACATCAGAGATAGCCACCCTTTGCTTAACTCAATTAATTTCAACAGCTGTTTTTCCCACCTGTATCTGAGGGTCAAGGAGTGGTCAAATACTTGTTGTGAACTCCACCATATAAACACAGTCCTCCAGACTTGGCAGATTAGGTACTGGTGTGCAAAACACAAACTCAGTAAACAAGCAAGCCTGCCACAGCTCAATGTACATAATGGCTGCGCCTATATCAATAGCTCCCAACAGTGTACCCAAGTCATGCAATGCCCGAGGAGGTCAGAAGAGGGTGTTAGACACCCTGGAACTGGAGTTAGCACCATGTGGGTGCTGGGAATTGTACCTGGGGGTCCTCTGCAAGAGCAGCCAGTGCTCTTAACTGCTGGGCCATCTCTCCAGCCCCATGAAGTATAATTTTCCAAAATTGAAGAGTGCTTGTTTTCTTCCTATGGCCAGTGAGATTGGGGAGAAAGCACGCAAAACCAGAAGGGTGCATGAGCTTTACAAAACTGCCTTTATTGTTTTGTTGTTGCTGCTTGGTTGGGTTTTGGGAGTTGGGCAGTGTTGTTGTTTATTTGAGGAAAAAAGAAACAGATTCATCTTAAGCAATTCAAATACTATACAAATACATGATGCAGAAATTAAATCAAATGCTCTTTATAATGCAAGCAGATCCCAATCACTAGTACTATACAACTTACTACGTAGATTCTTTTAGACTTTTATTTCAATGTATAAGCTATCATGTTAATGTATTTCTCCATACCATTCTTTTTAATGACTGTTACATGACATGAATATACTGTAATTTGTTGGGTTGATCCTTATTTGAGGGATATTTGGGATATTTAAAACTTTTTCATGATCATAATGCTGAGAACTTTTTACCATAAATCTTTGAAAATTTGTGCAGGCGTTTCTGAGGATGTCTTCTTAGAAATTCTTCTAGGAATTGGAATGAAGGGGATAACCATTTTCATATTAATAGATATTACCCCATTGCATCTTAAAGGTTGTATATATTTATTTACTGGTTGGTTGATTGACTGATTAATTGATTGATTGATTGATTGATTGATTGATTGATTGGGTTTTCTGAGACAGGTTCTCCCTTTAGCCTCATCTGGACTGGAACTTGCTATGTAGACCAGGCCGGCCTCAAACTCACAGATATTCACTTGCTCTGCCTCTCTAGTACTGGGACTAAAGGCACCACCACACTTGGCCTTGTGTACATTTATTTGCCAACAGTGAATGTAGTCCCCAATTTCTCTGGGTGCAGTGGGCTTTATGAGCAGCATGTTTTTATCAGAGAGATCGTGGAATCTTGGTAGTCTCCACCATGCTCTTTGAATGTCTGTAGTTCACACATTTCTCTGGTATCTGATAAATTAACAGCAGCTCGAATGTTTGCCCCCAAAAGCCCACATTTACGCTTATCCTTGAGCCATTCTAAGTCTGCTTTCTTTTCCAAAAGAGCTCCCAGCTTGTGAAACCTGGTGGAAATGCAGTAGAAGGGTACAGGTTCCAGTAATATAAGAAGGATGTAATCAAAATTGTTGTGAAAGGGATTGTGACAGGTAAGATAAAGTTCATAATGGCACCACTCACTCTGGACAAAGTAAGGAGACAAAACAAAGATGGACATAGCTTTTCTCAATGCAGCTTATAACATTTTCAGCAATGTTCCCGTCAGGGTCAAAGTGTCTCTCAGGAAGACAAATTAAGACAGAGCCATCTTCTTTCTCTAGATTGGGAATCAACTCATTCTTCACCCAGACAGAATCATGTTCAGTGTATGAAATAAATGCATGGAATTGCACACTTCTCTTAAGCACATCTTTCCTTGTCTTCCTGACTCTGTGATGTGTCCATGTCCACTGACCTAGTGTCCTGAGATACTAGGGAAGATCAAAATGGAAGCAGAACTACAGCCATCCCCAGAACTATCATGACCAGCACAATGGTGACAATTAACAAAGCTGTGTTATAAGATAATCCAGGAAGATAAGCATCTTTTAACTGAGTCCCCTTTCAACTCAAAGGGTATTTGCAACCATCTTGCCCTCTGAATATTTTTCAAGCTGAATGAAATCTCTTAATTCACAAGTGCACCAGAATGAATTTCTTCCTGCATTTAGAGTCTTAACTTCTTGGCATCTCTGAAAAAAAATTCAGAGATGGCTGAGAATTAAATTCATTTCAGTATTCAGAACCAAGAGTCTTGTGAAATGACTGCACTCAGGGAGATTGGTCAGAAAATTAAATGCAATATTTAGCTCTTGTAAAGACTTCAAGTGGAATCTCTTTAGGGACAGTTTGAATTTTGTTATTGTTCAGATCCAGTATTTGAATACTTCTGGGAAAACACCTGAAAACAGAATCAGCAAATTTATTGGATGACAAGTTCATGAGGATCAAGGTGTCTGGCCACAAGCAATTTTCCTCATTTTCATGTTGTAATAGATTCTGGCTCAGATCCAAGTGAAGCAAGGGTGTGTTGTTGGCAAAGCAACTTACTAAGGAGAGAGTCTGCAATCTGTTGCCCTTCAAAACGAGTGTTTTCAGATAAGGCAATTGGATAGGTTTTAAAAATAGGTCATCTATTAAAATATTATTGGCAAAATTTAAATATTGGAAACTTTTAGGACAATTAGGGAAAAGTAGGTGTGGCATTTGGGCATCTGATATTGTCAAGCATTCTACATCCATTTTGTTAGAAAGCAAGTAGATTCTGTCCTGGGGAAAATAGAAAACTCTGAAGCGTACATGCTCCAAATTTATAATCCTCCTTATGATATTTGAGTAGTCAAATGAATTGTGGTCAAGAAAAAGCTTGCCTCCACAGGTCGTGTTTTGAATCTAGAAGTATTCCACTGATGTATGCCAAACAAATTGGAAGAGATGGAGAAGATCATCCCATAGCACGTCAACTTTATGAAGTAACAGAGTAGACATTTTGGCATTCTCTAAAATAAGACTTTGTGGAGTCTCATAATTTACAAACTGGCTTTTGCCATCTATATTTGTCATTTCTAATATTCCTGAGGTCTTCATTACATCACACAAAAGAACCCAGACATTTGTGTTCATTGGTAAAACGATGTGAAGTGTTATGGTGTTTAGGATGGGCAGGCTGCCTTCTTCATAATGAGAAAGAACTCTCAATTCTAAGAAGACAGTATTGAGATGCAAATGAGCAATTTTTTGAGATCTGATTTCCGTATTTTTGCCCTGCTCAAACCTAGGGTTTTCAGACATTTCATTTTGCCAGTCTCATCGGAGACAGGCAGCAAGTCAAAGTCATTAAAGGAAAGATCTAAATGTTTAAGACCCACCAGTGAAGACCAAGTTATGATCTTCAGTCTATTGTAAGACAAGTCTAAATAGCTTAACTCCCTCTTCATTTCAAAGATCTTGATTCAAGCTTTTGGATTCTGTTATGGCATAGAATCAGAATGTGCAATTGGAGAAAGAATGAAAGTCTGAACCCTGGAGTTGAAAGAGGAGGTTAGGGACTGGAGAGATGGCTCACCAGTTAAGAACACTGGTTGTTCTTGCAGAAGACCTAGGTTCAAACACCAGCAGCCACATGGCAGCTAACAACTGTCCATAACTTCAGTTCCAGGGGATCTGATGGCCTCTTCTGTCCTCCACAGGCATTGCACGACACAGGTGCACTTACCAAAATGCAGGCAATACACTCCTATACATAAAATAAAGATAATAAATAAAATAAGTCCCTGCACTTGAGAGGCAAAGGCAGGTGGATCTTTGTGAGTTCAAGGCCAGCCTGGTCTACATAGTGAGCTCAGGTCAGCTGGGACTAGAAGAAGACCCTGTCTCAAAAAGACCAAAAAAAGGAAGGAAGGAAAAGAAAGAAAGAAAGAAAAAGAAAGAAAGAAAGAGGAGGTTGTAGGGTAAATCCAGCATGGTTGTGGCTGGAGTCAAGTGTGAGGGAACCATTCTTAAAGCCATGTTAGAGCAGTTGGTAGTCAATTCACTTTCTTCTGTCAGCTTTGGAGCCCAGCCCTCTACTGACATAATAATATTACAAAGCATATACAACCATCTGATGAGTCTCATTGTAATTCCAAAGATTCTACCACTTGTTTCCTCATATGATGAAGGTGAGTTCAAAGCCCTAGAAAACACCATAGAAGATTGGGTTATTATTGGTTTGAGTGGAGAGGATTTCAGCTTTTTAAAAAAATTATTTATAGCCAGGTGTGGTGGCTCACACCCATAATCCCAGCACTTTGGAGGCACAGGCAGGCGGATCTCTGTGAGTTCGAGGCCAGCCTGGTCTACATAGCTCCAGGCCAGCTGGGGCTACAGGGAAACCCTGTTTCAAAAAGACCAAAAAAATTATTTATTTAATAACTACATGATTAGAAGCATTTCATGACAGCATTAACATATTCAATAACAATTTCCAGAGCAAAGATGCATCTTTTTCAAAATTGGCTATAAATTTTTAGGTTCACAGTTGAATTAATATAGTTATACAATATTGAACTCAGTATAAACACTATGACATAAAATTGATTAAGGCTTTAACCTATAAAAAAGATCTCCATTTCATTTTAAAACATGCTTTCATACAGAAAAACTTATTTTAATGCTACTAACACTTAGATGCTTGCACGTGTCTCTAATCTCTATGTATCCAATTATTACTAGTCACAGTCAGTTGCTTTCTGAGATCTTGGCACCTGAGCATGGATGTAAAGTCATCAGGTAGATTTCAATGGTAATGTTTTTCATCTCTACTAATTACCATGAAGCAAATTTTTATGCTTCTTCCTCAAATATAACTCTTTTTTGTTGTTGTTGTTTGTTTTTTCGTGTGTATTTCACGCAGAACATCTCAAACAATCTATATACCCACATCCCATATGTGGTATATGGCACCCTCCCAAAGCCCCCCACCCCCTGGAGCCCATATACTCTGTCATCCCTTGTGGCCACCGCCTGCTGCGGCCACCCCTCCACTCTTCCGGTGCTGGGTGCTATCTCTGGGTGCCGCTTGCACCTCTGATCACACAGGCACTGCCTCCTGGGCACCGGCTCCAATCGCACAGGCATTGCCTTCTGGGCTCCGCCCCTGATCTCACGGGTGCTGCCCTACACTCCTCGCTGGAGTCGCTTGTTCCAGCCCTGAGGCAGCTCTTCTGCTCCCTGGGTGCTGGGGCCACTCTTCTGCGGCACTGCCTCCAGTCGCTACTTCTAACCAGGCTCTGACCCCAGGGCTGGTGAGGAGACTGTGTCAGCGGAGCAGCATTCAGACATGGGAGACCAGGTTCGGTGATGCAGATTCGGTTTATTGTAGAAGGACACAAGCTTATATAGGGTTAGGGGTCCAATCAAGAAGTTACAACTCAGATCTTTGGCAGGGCTGTGTCTTATCATGACATCACGAGTCTGACACCTCATTAGCATAATAGGTTTCAGGTTACTTAAGTTCTGGTTTCCTTATGGGGCCTGGATTCCTGGGAACCACATGACCCAGGCTGTCTAAGTGTTGCAATTTGGGATCTCAAGGGTGGTGATTAAGGAGTGGCAAGCTCTAGGCAACAGTCTCATGATCTGCCAATGGGAGCAAATGTCACAAGGCATTCCTTGTGGCTCCAGAGGTGGGGCTGTTGCCTCAGGCCTGCTGTATGGCTGTCATTAAGACTTTCACCCTAGGCTCAAGCCTGTCTCCCATAGTCCCTGTTACTGTCCACTGTATTGTCAGCACCCCCAGCCATTCCCCAGTGCTTGTCCATCAACTGAATATAGTCAGCCTATCTAGAGTTCCTTATTTTGGGAAGATCAGCTCTTCCTCATCTAGCAGCAATCAGTTGCCAGTATTCCTCTAGATAAGACAGGGGTATGCTGCTCATTTTCCCAGTTCTATGCTGGGTTACTGTCTGGAAGTCTCTTGGGCCACCCTGGCCAACAACAACTCAAAGGAAGGTATCTCCTGTATGGCATTGTTTCTTGTTATGTAGTCTTTAGCTATACACATGGACTCATAAAGAATTATATCAACCCTTTTATTCTTTGGTTATACTTTCCCTTTGGGTGTTTAAGACCATGCAGTTAGCCCAGATACACCAATTTATTTTTACTCTTAAGGCTGTTTGAGGACCTACTCCTCAGGGGTCACATGGGCTTGGGAGGAGCCCCTGGCTCCTGGTCCTTCTCGACCATGGTTGACTTCATTTGAAAGCATGGAGGTAAAAATGTTTCCTCTGTTTTGACCCTCCTCTTTGTAGACTGGACACTGGTTCAAGTCCATTTGGTGGGGTCTCCATGGCCTCCTTAAGCAAGAGGACAGGTGATGCACCACAGTTACAGGACATTTTAGGACATTTTGAGAGATGCTCATAGTCACCTGGAGCTTAGTCTACATAGGAGGGCAAGGAGCAAAAACTGTCCTTTATGTCCCTCTGATCAAATTAGTATATGCCTCAAAGAATGGCTGTTAGGCATCCAAGAAGGTTAGTTCCACCAGTATGGTACTTTTAATTACCATCTAAAGCTTGGGGAAAGACCAAACGTTCTCAGATAAACCTTGCTTAGACATATATTATACTCCTTGAGCTAGTTGTATGTATAATTTGTCAGTAGATTGTTCAATTAATATCATTCCCTCTGGTTTTTTTTTTAAACTGGCTAGGCATTATTTATCTCTTGCATTGTCTAACCCTTCCACCATGGTTTCCCCATTTAAAGTGCCCCCATTTTTCCCATTTCACCTTTAATAATACCCTTCTCCTATGGTCCCAGGTCCCACCTCTCTTGAGCTCCTTCTTTCCCTTTATCCCCAAGTTTCCTTGTATAGCCCTCCCTCCCCCTCACCTTAATATAACCCCACTTTTATTCATATCTCCCTTATTAACACCTGTTTCCTATTGTTCTTCTCTTTCAGAGTCTTCCTTAACCTCCCTGGTTCCTTTTCATTATCCTGGTTCCTGTAGTTACGACTGGATACATACTCACTTATAAGGATTTGGTGCTAAGATCCACATACGGTCATTTTTTTTCCTCAGTCTGTGTTACTTCACTTAGTATAACAGTTTCTAGTTCCATCCATTTACCTGTAAGTTTCATGATTTCATCTTTCTTTATTACTGAATAAAACTCCATCTTATAAATGACCCACATTTTCATTATCCACTCGTCAGTTGAGGGACACTTAGGTTGCTTCCATCTCTTAGCTATTGTGCAAAGAGCACCAACAAACATGGATGTACAAGTGTCTCTTCAATAGGATGAGTTCTTTGGGTATATGCCAAGGAGTGGTATAACTGGGTCAAATGGTAGGTTCATTTTCAGTTTTTTAAGAGTTCTCCACACTGCTTTCCATAGCGGTTGAACAAGTTTGCAATCCCACCAGCAGTGGATGAATGTTTCCCTTTCCCCACATCCTCTCCAACATTTGATATCATTTGTTCTCTTGATCTTGGCCAGTCTGACTGGGGTAAGATGAAATCTTAAAGTGGTTTTAATTTGCATTTCCCTAACTACTAATGATGTTGAACACTTTTTAAGATGCTTCTTAGCCATCTTTATTTCTTCTTTTAAGAACTCTCTGTTCAGTTCCTTAGCTCATCTTTTAATTGGGTTACTTCCTTTCTTGATTCTTTGTTTCTTGAGTTTGTTATATATATTCTGGATGATAAGCCTCTGTCAGATGTGTTGCTGGTGAAGTGGGTTTTCTCTTCACTTCCTTGGTTGCTTCTTTTGATGTATAGAAGCTATTTAGTTTAATGAGGTCCCATTTGTTGATTCTTGACCTTGTTTCCTGAGCAACTGATGTCTGATTTAGAAAATCCTTTCCTACACCTGTATCTCATAGGTTATTGCTAATGTTTTCTTCTAACAGTTTCAGAGTTTCATTGAAATCTTTGATCCTTTTGGAGTTGACTTTTGTGCAAGGTGAAAGATACGGTTTTAGTTTTATTCTTCTACAGGTGGAGATCCAGTTTTGCCAGCACCATTTGCTGAACATACTGTCTTTCCTTCAGCAAATGTTCTTCGCCCCTTTGGCAGATACCAGGTGGCTGAAATTGCATGTACTCATATTTAGGTCTTCAGTTTTGTTCCATTGATTTACATGTCTATTTTTGACTATAGCTCTATAACAAAGCTTAAAATCTGGTATATAAATCCCTCCAGCATTGCTCTTAGTGCTCAAGTTTGCTTTGGCTATCTGAGGTCTTTTGCTTCCAGTTTTTCTCCAGTTAGAATGATGTTGGCTGTGGGTTTGTTATATATGGCTTTAATTATGTTGAGGCATGTTCCCTCCAGTCCAAGTCCCTCTAGGACTTTGAACATAAATGAGAAGGCCTTTGACAAAATTCAACATGTATTTCTGGCTTTGAGCCCATTTATATGATTTATGATGCTTATTGACTTACATATATTGAACCATCCCTGCATCTCTGGAATAAAGCCAACTTGAGCATGGTGGATGATCTTTTTGATGTGTGTCTGTATGCGGTTTGCAAGTGTCTTGTTGAGAATTTTTGCATCTATGTTCATTAAAGATATGGGTCTATAGTTCTCTATTTTGGTTGTATCTTTACCTGGCTTTGGTATTAGAGTGATGCTGGCTTCATAGAAGGAATTTGGAAGTTCTCCCTCCATTTCTATCTTTTTGAATAAATTAAGTAGTATTGGATGTGGATCTTCTTTAAATGTCTGGTGGAATTCTTCTGTAAATCCATCTGGCCCTGGGCTTTTTGTAGTTGGGAGTTTTTTATTACTGTTTCAATGTCCTTATATGTTATGAGTCTGTTTAAACTGTTGATCTCTTCTTGGTTTAATTTTGGTGGTTCCCATGATTTTAGATATCCATCCATTTCTTTTAGGTTTTCAAATTTAGTAGAGTATAGGTTTTTAAAGTATTCCCTTATAATGTTCTGTATCCTTCTGATGTCTGTTGTAACGTTTCCCCTTTCATCTCTGATTTTTTTGATTTGAAGGTGCTCTTTCTTTTGGTTAACTGGGCTAGCAGTCTGTCAATCTTGTTCATCTTTTCAAAGAACCAACTCTTGGATTCGTTGATTCTGTGTATTGTTTTCTTTGTTTCT